ATTTCGTACACTCTAATACATCGAGAAGAGAGATTGAGTGTTACCGTTCATCGTCACATTGATCATGTGACAGTCCCACATATTCGCTTTCAAAATTTTTTACCATTTATAAGAGATATACATATATACTCATATTCAGGTGTGATATGAACAAACATCATGAAAGACAACTGATCTTTGTTTGCTTCTTGATTAGGGATTTCATTGGTGCAGTTCCATTTAATATGTTAAAATGAAACCACACTTTAAAACAGTTTTTGACAACTTTTATTTAAAATAAATCGTCGTTAATTTAGTCTCTAGGCTAAATTATAAATCTAGAAATATAGTCTATTTATTGCTAAATTTTTTTTTTCTAAATAAATAGTTAGTTCATAGTTTCGAAAATTGATCAGTTGTTGACTGATCAGTTAGCTAAGTTAAAGCAAATTCTTGTTTTATTTTTAATTAACAATTAAATTATTTATAAATTTGATTTATACACGATTGTAGTTATAAAAACAATTTTTATTACCTTCAGATTGTACATTAACTATAATTAACATAAGTAATTAATTTTTAGTAGTTGAAAAAACAAACGAATGAGTGAATTGAATATGAAAAAGTTACATGATTACAGTATTAATGAATTATAAAACACAAAATATAATTTCAGGATTTTTCATATCGGTAAATATACCGGAAGATATAATATAGACACAGATTTAGGCTTATTATATTACCTGTACTCTGAAACCCACCACTATATGACAAAATTGCAGTCTCTCAATCTATGAAGGAGTATTAGACACTTATCCAACAATTTTGAATGAAGTTTGGTTGAATATAAGTCAGTAAGTCTGTTTGGCTGTCAGACATTAAAGTGATTATTGCTCTATTTGTCTTTGTTTTCGGACATAGTCTAACATTGGTTATGATGGCAAATAACTCTGTCTAAAATATAGTCGGGCATGTGTTCATATCCAAAGCGGTTTTTTGTTACTAATCTAAAGTTAGTTAGTAAGTAAGTTTGTGTACTAGACTTGATACAAAACAAATAGACTAACATACATCAACATAACCTAGATTTTATCTAGGTGATTAGGAATACTTAAAGATTTTGACAGGCTTATTATGGCTTAATAGTTCAATGGAAGTTGTATAAAAGCATATGGGAGATTTTTTTTTTTAAGATAAATCAAGTTTGCAAATATAAAGATATTTCTTAAATAAATCTGTACGGGTAAGGATACATTTCAAATTACTTCACACACAAAAAGCTTTTAAGAACTATGGCAATTTTCATAAATTCATCAGTGAAATTTTCATATTGCACAAAAACATTGAACACAACTAAATAATTAAATTTTTTGCATTTGAATTTTCAGTTAATACGACTCTAGTACTCTTGATCATCAAATAAAGACTATTTAAAAAATTAGAGTTGAATAATCAATCTTTTATCTTTACGTTTTACGTACTCTTTACCGATTTACGAAAAGGTCTTGTTCTTGAAAGTTGACCTGAATCTTATTTAAATTGCAGTTAAAGTTAAACTGATGGAGTGATCTCCATCTGTCAATCAGTCTATCTGTCAATCAGTCTATTTGTCAATCAGTTTATCTGTCTGCGGCATTACCTATTTGTGGGTCCACTCAATTCACTCCATCTATTAGTAAATATATCTGCCTGCCTCAATAACTATGTAATATAGTACTCAATTTGCTTAGGATACTAATATATTCTTGAATATAATTATACTTAGGATCGTTTTTTGGCGATAAGTGAAAGGTAGGATTTTTATCTGTCTGACTGTCTTCACAATATTTTTGAATGGTACAATTGACCGAGCAGGAGTAGACACAATTAAATATAACTTCTAAGAATAAGCTTATGAGTGTAAATATACATGTGCATATCCCAGAAATTATATAAAGGAAATTATATAAGAAAAATTACTATACCTATTACTTAAGTAAAATTTAGTATGAAAATAAAATATATAAAAAAGTAAACTGTTTATACAAAAAATAAAATAAAATATATATAATACCTGAAATCAAAAGGCAATCTAATCTTTTTTTTGAATACACATCCCAAAAGATTCCAATAGGAAAACAAGTTGAATTATTCCAATTAAACTATACATATTACATTGTAAATCAATAGCCGCCATATTGTAACGCCTCTAATAAATCTATTTAAAAAGAGCTTATATCATATTTAACTATATAACTACACAGGGATCAATATAACAAAATAAATTTAAAAATATGTCTACAAAGACTTACTAAGCATATAATTGATTTGTGAAAAATAATTTGTTTAAATTTTAATCTTAACTGAATATTAATTATTCTATATAAATTAGCATTTCTCAAGTTGTAACAAATAAATCTTAATATGTAAGACATCTCAGTAATTTTTTGTATTGCAAAAAATTGTATAAAAACTGTGCCCAGTCCAATAAAATTATCAGTAAAACTTTTAAGTTAAACAAAAACATTTAAAGAAAAAACTACAGGATGAAATTTATTGCACTAGGACTCTTGCTTACTGTGATCCTCGCTTTATTTGCTAGTAAGAGAAAATTATTTAAAAAAACGCACTAAATTTTTTGTAACACATTGTCATATTTTAGGGACTCATGCTGATCAATGGGTAGCGCTTATTCCTGAAGACTCCCCACGCCATCACCCATCATCAGCTGAAATGAATCAGTTTGCTCCAGACTTTACTTTTCCTTTTCCTACTTAAAAGGTTCGGAGTATAGGCGAAAAGTTAAGGAAGCTAAATTTTTGTTTGATGTAGATGTCTATAGATTATGCGATCATTTTATTATGGAAAACAAAATTTACTACTTTTAAATAAAATTTGAATAATATAAAGAAATCTTTAAATTATTTCTATTAAATTGAAGAGATTGCGTATCTCCGATCCATTTCATATTGATCATTTGACAGTCCCACATATTTACTTTCAAAATTGGTTACCATTTATAAAAGATATACAGATATATATGAGTGAGATGAGTGAAACAATATTATTAAAGTCAACTGATCAACATTTCTCTACTTTAGAATTTGGGATTTATAGTTTCAGTTTAGTTATGTTCAGTTATGTTCAGTTTCTGTTTTGACAGGGTTTATTAAAAATAGGCACTCGGTAAAATTTCAATAATTAATCTCCGTTAACTATTACAAAATGGACACTTATAGTTCAGTGAAAAAATATCTACGAGTAGTAATCCATAATCAGGACTAACTATAACAGTAATGTTCCGTTTTATTAAATATCACATTTTAAGAAAACTATACATATATGTATATTTCGTTAAGTTGAAACTTCTTGATATAATATTTGTTTAATAGGTTTTCAATCTATATGTTGATGTGTGTGTAATATGATAATATGATGAAGTGGGTTTTGAAGTTTTTAGTTTTTCACGTCTAACTTTAATTCAGTTAGTTATCTGAGAAGTAGTTGGTATAGTGAAAACACTTAAACTGTAAATGTTATTTTTAAATCTTTGCGTTATACTGCAAAAATGAACTATCAGGTCGCAGTGCCTGCAAAGCTTATCTATAATGCCTCTAATACGGTAAGGGTTAGGATAATGTTTAAACTTGTTTACGTCTCACTCCTATTCAAAGACTGTCCTGTTCGTAGTTGGTATTGTGAAAAATTTTAAAATGTCTGTGTTTCAGCTTTAAATTACAAAGCTATTCAGCCTACAGGTGTTAAAAAGGTAAGGTATTTCCATTTAATGACTTGTTTTGCAATTGATTTCGGTCTCGACTAGAGAACTCTGTCATAAACGTCTTAGTATTTTTAAGGTCTCATTTTAAAAACGTAAACAAATACATATAATGTTTGTCTATTTTATAAACGGACTAATTTAAATGGTTTAATGGTATATTAATTAAACCATTTAATTTAAATCAAATGATTTAATTAATATACTTTTAAAATATTTTTTGTTTTTTTAATGATTTTATTTCAATCAATATTTATTAATCATCTTCAGGGTTCAGGGTGAAGGTTAAAAGAAGAACAAAATTTTAAAATGAAGAACAAAATTATTATTAAAAATATTTGATCATTAAAGCAATAAAATTGTCTATTTGGATAAAATTATTATTAAAAAATTGTTATTATTTAAAAATTATTATTAAAAAATTATTGACGTGAAATCGGCCGGTACCGCGGCCAGAAGAGTCCTATTGTTTATTAAGATAAAGGATGAATTTCAATAAAGAATTCAATCAAAATATAATAAAATAAAATACTGTATAGACACAAACAAATAGTTTTCTTACTTTTTTTTATATTGTGACGAATTTTTTATATCATGGGATTGGCTTTGACAATACCGAAAATCCCAAAACGTCTCGAAAATTAGCATTCCATGAGTTTATATGGAATGCTATATATGAGTTTATGATCACATGAGTGTATATATTGAACTATGGCTATAATGTCAAAATCATCTTTATGTTTTTTTTGAAATGCTCTCCTATTCATCAGAGAGTGGCAATGGACCGATAAGCTTGAAATTCGAATTTTTGATATTATTCAAAAATGGTTAAAAATTAGTTTATGACAATTTGTTAGTAAATTAAAATTTACATATCTATATTATTGTCATCATAAATAACGATGACTTTTAGATTTTCTAAGCCTGTTACTAGCAATTCCCAAAAGATATTTAGAATTTTTTTTTGGCTCCATTAATTTTCAATAATCGTTCAATTTAAATATATCTTATAATTATATAAAATACTACTAAATATTAATAATTAAGGTTAAAAGTTAATAAGTTTTATTGTATTTTTAGAATTTTAACTGGAATATAGTAATTAAGTTTTAGTTTTATAGAATTAAGCGAACTAGTGATATAAATCAGTTTTATTACGGACATAAAGTTCTAATTGTTAAGTAAAAATGGATTTTATAGTTATTCTAGTATTTCCAAAAAATGTATAAAAATTGCATGCGGCTTTAGAAATTCATCAGTGAAACTTTTGAGTTGAACAGTAAACATTAAAAAAACTACAAAATGAAATTCCTTACTTTTGGATTCTTAATTGCAATGATTGTGGCTCTATTCGCCAGTAAGTAAAAAAATAAGTTTACATTTTGGTACTAAATTTAAATTCATTTAAATTCTTATTCTGTTTTAGATACCATCGCCCAAAATGATCCAATTGTAAATGTATATGCAGAGGACGATTCTCACTCTCATTCCAATTCTCATTCAGAGGAACATATTTCCTTTGTTTAGCTCCTTTCGCTGAAATGGGGTAGAAGTAAATTTCAAGCATTTAAGGATACGATTAGTTTATGTATTAAAAGCTGCTTTTGGTTCCTTTATGAATTTACTCAGTTACAGAAACCGAAATTTACTTTTTACTAATTAAAGAGATGAAATTTAATTGAATAAATTATGCACTAATATATAAAATGTCTTTAATATTTTTTTAAGTATTTTAACGTATACACCTTTTTTTAGATTTTCCATCACAGTATTAAAAAATCTGTTCATTTTATTAATTTAAGACTTTATTTTTCCTTTACTTTTCTTTATATTTGGTCTTGATCCTCATCCTGCTCAAAATCTTCGTTGCGCTTAACTTAACAACACTTAATTACAGTTATTCTAGCTTTCATCACATAGCCAAATTTATAATCCTAACCAGGGCTACGAACTGGAACCGAACCGAAAACCGCATTAGGCCGTCACATACTAATGAACAAATAAAAAAACGATTCTTTAATAGTATTCTGGATTGAGAAGAAATAAGATATTTTTGCACAGATAATATTACTGCCAGCCCAGTACAACAATAATAAAGTGACAACACTTTTAAATTAAGATATAATGATAAAGGAAGTTAAAATAGAACAACAACAGTGCAGTCATGTACAGAGAACAGAGATAAAAGTAATATGACTGGAAGTCTCGTCTACTTTTAAGAAGAGTCGACAATCTATCCCTTCGGACAGACTCATTTTGTTAAGGTGATAACGTAGTTAGTGGTGACCCGTTAGATATCCCGGCAGCAGCCTCAACTTTGTTCTGCTGAGAATAACTTACCGTAACTGTAGGGGTGACCCAGCTGTTTAGCCTGACGGTTACATGAAATGTCACACCAGTAGCAAGTTTTTTCGGTTGAAAACCATTTTTCAATTAGAAACCTAGTTGTAGATCAATTTAGTTCACAATATGGTTCCGGTCCACAGACTTGAATGGTAGATCATATCCTCGCAAGATTGTGCGTAGACTCATTACCATTGATTCCTGTATGATCAGGCATCTAGCAAACCATCACTTTATTTTTGCTAACTTGTTAACTCACAAAGTCAATGCACATTTAATATGCGTTGCTATTTTTGAAAAAATGGATAAACCATAGCTATATCAGTTAAGTTAACTAAAATTAATTGCAGTTTTTTTCAATTTATATAGTTATGTTTGTGTAAAATATTTCAGTAATACTTGATTTCTTAAAGATGGCTTGCATTTGCAAGTCTATAGAGTTTTATGTGTTATTGAGTCCTACATTCCTTTTAGTGACGGTAAGACAATAAGAACATTTGTTAATATCTCTTAGTCTAATTTCTAATTAAAATTGTTATGTTCCATTACACAAAAATGCATTCTGAATATTTTAGTTAACATAATCTAGTGATACAAGTATTGTATGTGTAATATAAAATATACACGGTGTTTTTTAAGCTAGATGTGATCTATCGATATCGATAACTATTGTTTGACAGCTGAGAAAGTCAAACTGTGTTGACATTTCTATGAAGTAAAGTTTGGAAATTCATCATGGATCGTGTAACGTTAAAAAAATGTTTCCAAATTGTGAAAATTTACTTTAAAAAGAAATAAATCTGTTCACGAAGTTCATAGATCATTAATCGTGTTCGCACTAATTTTACTCTTGTTGATTCAAAACCATCAAATAGCCATTAAACCATTAAAATTGACTGTTTGGTGCAGTTTATACACTAGCGGCATCATTGGTACTTATTTCTTTTGAAATGAGGAAGGAGCTGCCGTTACGGTGAACCACGAGTGCTATCTAGCAATGCTGACTGACCTTCTGTTTCCATAAGGTCAATCGTGCGATTTAACATCTCTTGATTACTATTTAGGGGGTTAGGACTATGTTAAGTCATTAAGTCGTATTATGCTGACAACCGAGAAACCAGCCACTTTTCAAGCATTTGAAATCAATGTTCATGCCACCACTGATGTCATACGTCTACATTTATTTTAAATAACAGTCAAAAATTAGAGTGATGGAAAGAACCATGTAACTCGTAGCCTGTCGAATTGATATTCAAAAAATAAATGAAATTATAACAGATAATATAACAGGTATAAAAAAATTTTATTTCAATAATATTTTTATCTTGTATTATCATTTTAAGTTCTCATGCAGATAAAAAGCTCCCTATATCTTATGAGATATGATTATTCGTAAGACTAATCTTGTCTTCATTACTTTGAGTAGCAAGTAAATCTTTTAATTATAGGAAAATAAATTCATTGCAATTATTTTCTAGAATTTCATTTATATAAAATATTTAATTTAATATCTATTAAAAACTATGTGAATTAAGCATTTCATATGTAATCTTATATACTGAAAACAAGTTGCAATAATAAAATAATTAAAAATCTACAGATGAAATAATATTGCATTACTATTGCAGTTTCAATTGATCAAGTAGGTATCAAGAAGTAGCATCCAAGAGACTTGTTTAACGACTAGAAGCTACGAGTATTATAATTGAGTGATTGGAAGATACTTGGTCCGCTAGTTTTGTTCAATTACGCGACTTAAATAAATGAAGCAAAAAAATTTTTATGTTCATATGAAAAGCAATAAAAAAGTAATAAAAATTTATTAACATAAAATAATAATAAAACAAAATTTATTACATATACATGATTAATGTGAATATAATAATTATTGTTTATATTTCAGAATTTCATTCAGATTATTAATTCAGATAATTAATTATTTTATTAATTAATAAGAGAATTTTATTAAAAGTTAGTGGTTTACTTGAAGACTGTGTGGTTCAGTAGTGAAATAGTGTCATAATGATCTTGGTCTTCTTAATTAAGTAAGAAGTTTTAATTAATGTTTTAAGAGTTTAAGTGATTCAATGAACTATATTTAATGCTTAAAAAGTGTTGGTTATGTTTTTATTAAATTAAAATTTTTTATTAAGCAATATTAATATTTATTAATGATTGAGAAAATAGGTATTTACGAAACTGAAATGAGACATAAGAATTTAATATTTTTAATATTAATTAATAATAGTATAAACTATGCTAGAATAAACATATCTTTGAACGGCAAAAACTTACTTCTAATAGTTAAAAAAGTTAAAATAAATAAATATTTATGTGGAACTATACAAATTTACTTTCACTTGCAATTACAATGTACTCACATTACAATAAAGATATCAAAATATAATTATAAAACAATACCTAAGCAAAGTATAAATTATATTCTTAATAATTGTAAATTTGGATTGCATATATAGGTACACTATATGTCCACCAAGCTAATATTTTGACGTACCATGTTTTGAAGTCGCAAATTTTTATATAAAAACTCCCCGCATTTTGTTTTGTTGTGTTTTCATCTCAGAATTATTGTTTAATCCACCTTTACTCTCTAATGGAGTTGATTAGATAAATTATTCATTACTTAGTATACGCGTAATTTTGATTCTTCAACTCAGCAATGTATTGAGTATTTGTATGATAACCAGCATATCTGCATATCTTGATATCTGATGACAAAAAATTAACAGTTTTTAATAAGTTTAACTCAGCATTCTTATGAGTATTCAAGTTGTGGGCCTTATCCCTGATATATTTATTTATGCCATTAGTTTTTATATTCTTAAAATGATATCCCAAAATCTGGATTTACTTCATACTATAGAGTATATATTCTTATAACTATATTTTGATGAGACTGAATTTTTTAACTTAATCTGAAGCAGTTTATCAAAAGCTATGCAGCCGTAAATTATGCTTGATTCCTGATTACTTGTTCATATAGTCGAATTTTGTTTTTGACACATATTTTTTTGAATCAAAGTGCATAGTTTTAAATTACATTAAATTATTTTCTTCTTTATATTATTTTATATTTTTTTGAATCAAAGTGCATAGTTTTAAATTACATTAAATTATTTTCTTCTTTATATGCTTATTCCATAGAAAAATTTAATCGAAATTTTCGGAATATCCGGGGAATTTTACTATTCTACTCATCCACTCGATGCTTTCTTGAGCATGAATTATGAGTGATAATTTTCGCGATTTCATAGTGACTCGTGATGGAAATATTGATATAGTTTCTGTCCTCTCCAGCTTTTATTTTGTTTGTTGTGGAACAGTTGATTTGAAATTGTATTTAAAGTCTCTGTTATTCCAGAAATTGCTAATAAGTGTCAGTAGCTTACCTGTTATTTGTGGATCAATCTATAGATCTTATGTACTAGATAGCATTTAAAGGCGAGTGTGATCGATGTAAAAAGTTTACAACGTAAAAGCTTGATATTTCGAGAAGTGATCTATATCGGTATATAAAAAATTTGTCAAAATAAATGAGTTCACTAAAATTTAATATTACAATCAAGTACCGAGAAAGCAGACATTAGTGCTCGTCTTTAGAAGTATTTTTAACATTACACTTAATTTAATGTATTTTGATTAAATAAAAAACTTTTTTAATGCAGGCTCTTGACCATAAAATGATAAATGCTTGATAGCTAAATTATGTAAGTTTTAATAACGTTTTCAGCTTTAAAGGGTATATACATATATAATTTTAATTCCTGACTAAGATTTTCGACAATAAAGTATATAATTTTAAATAAAACTCTTCATAGTGTTTCATTTCGATTGGGTGTCATATAATTTTGAAATAAATTGTTAACAAAGACAGAATTTCGGATTTGTTCTAAGTTTCTCTAACCTAAGTTTCTCTGATTATTAAATTTAAAAAGTCACATCTACGCAATGTAAATTACTCATTTATTATGTTGTTATTTACTTGTTCCACTAATTCCAAAATGATTTAATTAACTATTTAAAAAATTGTTTTAATTTTTTGTGGTTAATAATTGTAATGAGTTGTAGATTAATTGATATTTTTTTTTGTTTATACACAAATATTCTAAACAATCAAATATGTGCTAAATTTAAAATTATATATAATTAATTAAATAAACACTTAATTACATAAGTGTATAAACATATTTATACGGATATATTTAATTAATAAATAAGTCTTTATTATGATATATGAAAAATTTTAGATCATAAATTTAACAATTATACATGAAATATAAAATAAATGTATAATTATTATAATCTTGATTGTTAATTTGAATTTATTTAATTCATAAT